AAATCTCTTGATTGTGTCAACCCTGCTGAACCCTTTGCGCAGGCTTTGGTCATGTGTCCTACCATCATCCTACATGGGTTTGCGCCAAATTTTATTTGAGAATGCTTTTGTGTGGCTCCTTGACACATGGTATTATTGCTGGACTGTTAATCCAGAGACCCAGATAATGTTCTGGGGACCCAGGTTCAAATCCTGCCACTGCAGATGGTGGAATTTGAATTCAATAAAATGTCTGGAATTAAGAATCTAATGATGATCACGAATCCATTGCTGATTGTTGGAAAAACCCATCTGGTTCACTAATGTCCTTTAGGGAATGAAACTGCCATCCTTACCTTGTCTAGCCTACCTGTGACTCCAGACCCGCGGCAGTGTGGTTGACTCTGAACTGCCCTCTGGGACAGTTAGGGATGGGTAATAAATGCTGTCCTCATCCTGCGAATGAATAAAGAAAAAAAATAAAGAAAATTTCCCCGGATTAAGGATAATTAATATAAGCTATTATTGTGATCTAAATTAGTTGATCAGTCACCTAAATGTATTAGTTTAAGTTGAGTGGAATGGATGACCAGTTTTGGTTGACTCTTCCTCCTTGTTTTCCTTCATGTGAGTAACAGGAAAACCTGAGGTATCGCATTACTCTGGTCCCCAAACAGTTCAGTGGCTGGCACTTTCATTTCTGATCTCCTGTCAATCAGTAAATCCAAACCCTTACGATTCTTAGTCTGGGTCAGAGTAAAATTATTATCAGGATACTTCTGTTGCAACAATTTAAACTTATACAAAGCATTTCTGGTCTAAGGATAAAGAGTAGTTTAATAGTATTGAGTACTGACCAAGCAAATATAGTAATGTCATCAGAGATGCAAGTGGAGTCAAACAACAATAAATAATTACCCAGAGCTGCTAGAACCTGGCTTCAATTGTTGTAAATTTAAGGACATGATAAAATATTTAACAGCAGATCACTTGGAAAACAGTGACAGAGTCAGACAGCATCAGGATGGATTTATGAATGGGAAGTCATGCTTGAAAAATCTCCTTGAATTTTTCAAGGATGTAACTAGTAGAGTGCAGAAGGGAGAGCCAGTGGATGTGGTTTACTTGAACTTTCAGAGGCTTTTGATAAGGCCACCATAGAAGAGATTAGCATGTAAAATTAAAGCACATGGGATTGAGGATAGTGTACTGACATAAACAGAGAACTGGTTGGCAGACAAGAAACAAAGAGTAGGAAATAAACGGGTCTATTTCCAAGTGACAGCTAGTGACTAGTAGGGTACCACAGGGATCAGTGTTTGGACACCAGCTATTCAGAATACATATGAATGATTTGGACAAGGGAACTAAATGTAATATCTTGAAGTTTGCAGACGAAACAAAGCCTGGTGGAATGGTAAACTATGAAAGATGATGCAGAGATACTTCTATGTGTTTGTCAGGCAGCCCACCACTCACCTTGGACTCCTCCCACCCTATTGTGAGCTGTGTTTCTCCTGAAATGAGGGAAAGAGGCAGATCTTAAGAGAGGTGAAAGCGAGTGTCTCAGCTGTTATTCTTGGTACAGTTGGAGAGGTGGCCCGAGTGAATGAGTAGACAACACGGAGGTCACACAGGGTTATTGCTGTTGGGCTTTGGGGTGGTGGGAATGAGTGAACAAAGAGTTTGAAGGCAATAGCGAGAGTGGGAGAGCATGAGTCTTGTTGGAAGGCGGGTCCAGCAGCAGAGGTAGAGATATGATGTGTCAGAGAGTATATGGCAGCATTTATGCTGGCAGAGCAAAGGAGGTCATTGACCTTCTTTCTATGTTGCTATGTATTCCTTCTGATGTCTGAGATTCCATTGACCCAGATGGTGGCCTTGGAGCAGGTTGGCATGGTCTGGTGTCCTGGCCTTCTCTGCTGGTCCTAAGGGAAGAGGACTCCCTGACGGTGTTCTATCTATTTAGCAGAACCTCTTCTAGATCTCTGTCTGCTAAATGGGGCGCTAGATTTCTCTTGTCTGCCGTGTCTGGGGCAAACAGCAAGAACCGTGCAAGGCAACTCTGGACTGACGGTGCTTGTCCACATGCACAACAGGCTTTTAAAGATGGCACTGCTGCCAGGGATGCCAGTTAATTTCATGATATCCCAGCAGTGTCAGGTTGTTCTGGGAATGCATATGATAAGATGGGGCCTTTAAGTACTGAATGAGGCGGCAAAGCAGAGCAAGGCAAGGCAGAGATGCTGTGACCATCCGAGTTGGAGCAAAGTGAGTGAGTGTTAAGATCATGTGAGGGAGCCCTGAGATGCACTTGGTGCAATCCATGAGATAGGTGTTTGCCCCTGCCCAAAATGTCCTTGCAGCAGCATTACAACGAACAGTACTGGTGTGCTCCAAAGTGCAGCATTAATTTGTAGAACATTTTTATATCGACTCGCAAGCAGGCCAGCTTTTTCTTGCCTGTCACTTAGTTGTCTTTGAGAAGGTGATGGTGAGTTTCCTTCTTGAACTGCTGCAGTCCATGTGCTGTAGGTCAACTCACATTGCCCTCAGGGTGGGAGTTCCAGGACTTTGACCCAGTGACAGTGAAGGAACGGCAATATATTTCCAAGGCAGGATGGTGTGTGGCTTGGAGGCGAACTTGCAGATGATGACATTCCCACGTATCTGCTGCCCTTGTCCTTCTAGATGGAAGTGGTTTTGAGTTTGGAAGGTGCTCTGTAAGGATCTTTGGTGAATTTCTGCAGTGCAGAAATTACAGATTATACAGACTGCTGCTACATACTGCAGTGGTGGAGGGTATTGATGTCATAAGAGTCATAGAGATGTACAGCATGGAAACAGACCCTTCAGTCCAACTCGTTCATGCTGACCAGAAATTCTAAATTAATCTGTCTCATTTGCCAGCATTTGGCCCTTATCCCTCTAAGCTCTTCCTATTCATGTACCCATCCAGATGCCTTTTAAATGTCCACCACTTCCTCTGGCAATTCATTTCATACACACACTGCCCTCTGTGTGAAAAAGTTGCTTCTTAGGTCCCTTTTAAATCTTTCCCCTCTCACCTTCAACCTATGCTCTCTAGTCTTGGACTCCTCCACCCTGGGAAAAAGACCTTGACTACTCACCCTATCCATGCCCCTCATGATTTTATAAACTTCTATCCTGTCACTCCTGAGCCTCCGATGCTCTGGGGAAAATAGTCCAAGCCTATTCAGTCTCTCCATATAGCTCAGACACGCCAACCCTGGCAGTGTAATGTTTTGTGGATATGGTGCCAATCAAGCTTTGTCCTGGAAGGTGTCAAGCTCGTTGAATATCTTTAGAGCTGAATCTGCCTGACAGTGGAATCTATTAGCCTTCAACGTTTGGTCAGGTGACTCTGGGAGTATTTATATCTATTGTGTGTCTTGCCCAGAAGCAGGAGCACTGTCCTCAGTTCCAACTCCCACAGGGCTGAGGGTGATAGGCAGGGTGGAGATGGAAGGTCTAGCCACCTCTGTGTGTCCTGAGAGGAGACTTTTGGGGCAGAAGGAAGATGCATGTTTTGGTTCTCCTTTGTCTGGCAACCTCCTGGCACTGCCCTGTCTTCTTGTGAGGGAGCGGCTCCTGGTGTGAGCTCAAGCTCTGTTGTACCCCTGTCATCTCGTTGTTGGTGAAAAGCATCAATGCCTAGATCAACGGAGGGCATGTCTGTGCAAACAGTCAGCAGAGTCTGAGACTGTCAGGTCTAGGTGTCTATGTGAGCCACCAACCTGTCCGTGGAGACGGCCAGATGCTTGCATGCCAAAGACAGCAAGATCCCAACAGCAACCTTTGTATTAATTTGTCCAGCGCCTCAGACAAACCTGCCAGCTTATAACGTACCTACTAGGATTCAGCCATTTATTTCTGATATTTGTATTATGACTTTCAAATAGCTCTTGTATGGTGTAAATGTAATTTTCCTTCTCTTTGTGTAATAAACTTTGATAATACTTAAATTAAAAATATATTGGTAGCCTCTTGTGAATATATTCAGTAACTGACCACCATGGTTAACAAATAGCAAGCATAAAATGAAAGACCTTTCAAGCCAGGTTTCATTCTGGGATCCAACTGGTCCAGTATTACTAATCAGTTCAGATCACAAGTGACACCAGGTAAATTGCTCCTTTGAGCGGCAGTGCAGACACAACAGGTTGGCTGGTATCCCTCTGTGTTGTAACAATTCAATGATTTTTTAAAAAATGATCTGAGTTCCTCCCTTTTCCTACAAGGAAGGGGAATAACTTTCATTTATCCACCTTTCACAACCTCAGAATATTCCAAAATACTTTGAAGCCAATGAAGTGCGTGTTGAAGAGCAGTCACTATGGGAACGTAGGAGGTGTGACTTACAATGAGACGCTCAAACAGATATTTCAACAGTGTTACCTGATAAGGAAATATTGAGCAAAATGCTGGGCAGGACCCTGTACTCTGCTTTGGAAAGATGCTTTGGGATCTTCCACTTCAGAAGGAAGGTAAGGCAAACTGGGCTTAAATGCTTTATGCAAAAGACTGCACCAACGACAGTGCAGCACTCCCTCAGTACTGCAGTCAAGGAACAGTCCAGATTACATTCTAAAAACTCTGCAGTGTAATTGAATCCATACGTTGACACAGAGGCCATTTGAATTAAAGCTGATACCTAGCACTTCACAGCATATTAATGCAGGGCACTTCAATATCAGTGAGGCAACTGCTGAGCAAATATGGCTATGGATAATTTCTCCATTTCTGAAGTGCATAGCTCTGAGAACGACAATGCTTCGACCTTGAGTGTGTTTTAAGTCTTGGAACAATAGAAACAGGGGAAGCCGTGTCGGGTCAGTCGGAATCACGATGAATGCAGAGGTCAGAATATCAAATGAATGCAAGATCTATCAAGTTTAATGAAAGGCTGCGCCCTTCGCTCAACAACCCTCCAAGCTTTTGCTCAAGTTAACACTTTTCAATCCATTATTTTGAAAGGTGTTTCTGTCACGTGAGCATGACGTCGCTGTCGGGATAATTTAAATGTTTTTTCCAGCTTCAATTAGTTTCAAAAGACTTAGAGAGAGTGAGGAGACACAAAGAGAGAGAGAGAGAGAAAGACCCTGAGTTGAAACATCGCACCACAAGTAAAGCCTACAAGTAAGTCTGTGATTGAGCGGATGCCTTTATATTTAAGTGGCTGCTACATCTTCAGCTTTTAAACAAAATTGTTGCATCTGATCCCCAGGAGACAGGGGAGAGATTGCACGGGTCAGATTGTATGGGGAGCAGAGAGATCAGGGAGAGAGCCGACCTGGGCAAAACGTCTTCAAGCAGTTGCCAGACCTCATTGTGAGCAATTTGTGACTGGAGTTGGACAATGGGATTAGGAATGCGCCTGGGATTGGAAGTTTGAATGGGAACTTTGCTGTGGGGAAACTGGGGAGATGAGGGGCAGGAAGGGGTCGCTAATCTCTCTGTCTTTCCCAGCCTTACTGAGGCATACCCCCAACCCCGGCATGTTGCCGGGGATTTCGCTGCATTCCCGAGATGTGGAGAGAAAATTTACATGTGGAGCAGCTACAGTTCTTGCTCTTTCACGGAGAATGTAGATGTTCATTGCAGAGGGTCGGCAGAGCGTTCATCACGTTGAACAAGATGCCGAAAGTTGGAAGTGCTGGTGGAAGGTCGGGGGTCTGGGCTCTGTAGGACCGGGACACTGGGGGATCCGGGGTCGCTGGATGGGACAGTACCGCAGGACAGGAGATTCGGGCTCATCACACCGAGCTGTTGGTGAGGGGGGAGTGAGGATGGGAAGGATTGAGGTGGAGAGCGTGGACGGGAAAGTCAGGGGGCAGTGACTGGGAGAATCTGGGCTGATACAGGGATCGTTTGGGGGTTAGAGTGGGGAGCAGTGAGAGTTTGAGGGTTATGATGGGGGAATGGGAGTTTGGGGGCTATTGTTGGGGGCTGTGGTGGTGGGGTGGGAGTTTGGGGGCTATTGTTGGGGGCTGTGGTGGTGGGGTGGGAGTTTTGGGCTGTTGTTGGGGGCTGCGGTGGTGGGGTGGGAGTTTGGGGCTGTTGTTGAGGGCTGTGGTGGTGGGGTGGGAGTTTGGGGCAATTGTTGGGGGCTGTGGCAGTGGGGTAGGAGTTTAGGGGCAATTTGGGGTGGGGGTTTGGGGGCTGTGGTGGTGGGATGGGAGTTTGGGGGTTTGGGGGCTGTGAGGGTGGGGTGGGAGTTTGGTGGTGGGGATTTGGGGGTTGCAGTGGTGGGGTGGACGTTTGGGGCTGTTGTTGGGGGTGTGGGAGTTTGAGGGCTATTGGTGTGGGAGTTTGGGGGCTAGTGTTGGGGCAGTTTGGTATAATGTGGCAGAGTCTGGCGATAGTACATTGCAGAGCTTGCGAAGTGTTGTGAGCAAGCTGGGGTCACTGAAAGGAGACTAACAGGGACGTCAAATGCGAGATCTGAGGGCCAGGTTCACTTGGGAATTGAGCGCCACTGCGTTTAGCAACACCACAGCCCTCCTGTGCTGTCTCTGGCAGTCCCCAAGCCATCACTTCACTGAGCTGCAGGAAGCTGTGAGTTCATTTGGTCCCCCCAGCCTGCCGTGTTCAAACACAGGCCACACACTGAGGACACATCCCAGGGCAGGGAGGGGGAGAAAGGAAGTGGGTTACAGCTCCAGGTCTAGGGAGAGGAGTCCAGATCAACACCTCCTCTCTCTCCCTCCTGACCCAAAACTAGACAGCACCATCCAGGCTGCCATTCCCTGTGCGAGATAAACAGGAGAAGGAGAGAAATTAATTAGAGTGATGGAGATAACAGGAAGGAAAATAAATGGAGAGGAGAACTGGAGTTGGGGGTTGGGGGAAAGAGTGTAAACAGAGGGGAGGGGATAAAGCAAATCACTAGGAGTGAGGAAGGAGCAATTTTTCCAAACCGATCTGGGAGATAGCTAAAAATTGGGGAAACTACTCAGGAACAAAATGGGACGTGCAGAGATTGGTCTGTCAGGTTTCATGTTGTTTTCTGTGATGACTGGAAGGGGAAAGGAATCTGGAAATTGGTTTGAAATGTGCTTGAGATCTCCTTTATCCCTCTGCCCTGAAATCAAAATTGCCCAAAACATGATTTCAGTCAAGGACTGTACTAACTAGATGAGTGGGATGCTGCTAGTTTTGAATTTGAGGAGTGGGATCATCCTTTTAACATTGACTAGCACATTTCAACCATTCAATGGGACCTTTATATCCATCAGTAAGAGGTAAATTGGTCATTACTGTTGTTTGGAGGATCTCTCTGTATTCAAATTGACTGCTGTGGTTTTCTTGAAAGAAATCCTGATGGCACATTTTTGCAAATCAAAAATTAACTATGCAGAACAATGTTGAGATATGAAAACTGAAGGAAGTCTATCCTTTTTTAATGCCTTCTCCCTTTTCAGCTGCCTCTCTAAGACAACAGCATTGCCTGCTGGGAAAAGGCTTGTTAGCAGCTCTTAATCACCCTGTGTAGATAATCCACAGTGAAGTCAAAACCTGCCAACACTAGTATTTTTTACTCAGGTTATCAGGTAATGATCAGGAATAGGAGCCTTATTTTAACCCATCTGACAACTCTGGGTTCAAACACCACTCCAGTCCAATATTTCACGGAGACCACTGCACAGACCAGGGGTAGGAAATTAACAGTTCTTAGCCATAAGGTTGGAAATCAGAAGGGAATTAAATGTATTAAACTTGCAGCTTTTAATAAAAGGGGCAACAAATTTGAGAATACACTGTTGAAAATAAATCAGGCTCTTTGCACAACTGTTGCAGTGCCTTTCTTTATTCAAATGTGGTTGAGGTTTGTTCATGATTGGTGTTTATAAAGAGCCTTTCCCAATCTTAGGACATTTGAAAGTGCTTTACAGCCAGTGAAGTACTTCTGCAGTGTAGCCATTGTTGTAAAATAGCAAATAATTGGAGTTCTTTTGTGAGTTTCTAAATGTGATACGATTGCAGTTTTAACCACAACTGAAATGTTTGGTTTTGTTATTGGAGACGATACATTTTAAGAAGCACAAGTGTTGTTGATTTGTCTCAGGATAAGAAAGTAAATGATAATGAAAATGTTGGATGCCCGGCTTAATTTACTGAATTAATTGCGAAACAACCGGTTTTAAAAGAATGGTTCCAATTAAAGTCAAAACCTGGGGCTTATTAAATAACCCACTTTTAACCAGCGATATATTTTCTACTTAATATTAGTTGAATAGGTGCTCATATTAATTTTTCTCAGTGAGAATGAAATTCAGATTACTGAGAGGCATTTGAATGAGGTTTGGGCATTTCTCTCCCATGTGGGAAATCTTGACTTTCCACAGTTGATATCAGGAAGTTTGTATAAAGAGAGGTCTTCATGGATTAAGAAACAGCGTTCAGAAATGTAGTAACTTTCTTTTGATTTTAGCAAATTTCTAACACATGAAAAATCTATCGAGTTCATTTATTGCTCTATTGATTTTCTTTTACAATACTTCACAAATTCTTCGAACAACGTCTAGGTTACTCAGCATATTAATCCATGAACCAAATTAGATTTACTTGATGAAGTGCTAGACATCTAAAACAGGCTGTCGTCTGCAAAAGGAAAATACAAGTTTGAACTGGATTGAAGCAGAACCAACTGGATCTTGTGCAAGCTTAAAGCTCCTTGCATCACATTGTAGGCCAACCAGAAAATGAAGCTGGTCTCCATTCTTCTTCCCCTCCCCCGTTCCCCCATTGAATCTCTAAATCAAAACTTTTCACTCAAACAGCCACAAGCAATAAAGTTGTTTGGAGGATCTTAGCCTCTGGGATATTAAAAGAAATTTTCCTTTTCCAGGTTGAAGTATTGCAAAGAATAACATCAACCATCATGATAATGCCAAACTTTTTAAAAAAAAATGTTCCACATGCTGTAGTCAGTACAGTGTCCTTTGCATACTTTAGATTGAATTTACAGTACACCAGCAGGTCATTCAAACTAGCTAGTCTGTGCCATTGCGCTGAGTTGAGCCGTTACTCAGATTAGTGTTGGGACCCAGGTTTAAAGAGCTTTGAAGATGCCTTTGTTGTGCGTTGGCAGAGCCGTAACAGCATTGCAATGGATGATGATTTATTTTGAATTCTGCTTTGTTGCACGTAACACACCTTAGACAATACTGAGAATGAGATTCTTTTTAAAGTAAAAGATTGCGTTGCTTGAAAACTCTCTGATGGTAACTATTGCCTTCCACTAAATAGAAGCAAATGGCCTGTTGTCAGAATTATTTATGGCACACAAGATAGCTATAATTCTATACAAAGTGGCGGGTTTTGACTCCCATTTGGCTCACAAGGATGGTGGGAATGCTAGCAATTGGTAATAGGTTCAAGGGTCAGCAAGTTCTATGTGAGAATAGGGTTGCCAACTGTGATTAAATGCATTCCTGGAGGTTTCGTCCTCTGGCTTGCTCCCATGTTATTAAACAGCCAAAGTATTCCTTTCATGATGCACTTCCTTTCCATACCAATTGGAAAGCAAGACTACTCAATACCCAATTGGACAATGCTTGATTGTCAGCCTAACAGCTTTTTATTTCCTATTTTTCAGTATTTTTGTGTGTGCTAAGCATAAATGTTGGAAGGAAATGAAAAGGAAATTTTGTTTTAAGGTTCCTGTGGTTTTTCTTCAGGATGGCTCTCAGCAGTATCCTGAAAGTTCCCTTCAATTTCTGGAGATTCCAGGAAATCCTAAACGGTTAACAATGCTTTGAGAAGCAAACATGTGAAAAGAAAAACAATAGCAAAAATACTTTGTAGGCCATTAATGATTGCCTTCCAGGCATCTTGGACCAGAAAACTGGAGATTACAACTTCTACAGTTGAAACCTGAAACTTACTGTATGAATTGCTACATCAGCTGCATAGGATGGGGAGGTATTTCCAACTGGCTTGAAGCTAGGAGTAAGTCTTCGAACCTTTCCCACTTGAACAATCCAGCTACGAAGGGATAGAGTGTGATTTAGAAATGTTCAGCCCCTTTTCTTGATGTTATCAAATGCCCTTAAAAAAAACTCACATCTGCACCTAAGCTGTTGGCAATTGAATTGATCTTCCCAAGGGGAGAGTGGTCTTTGCCAACTACTTCC